GCCTTCCCTCCACCTTTAGTCGACTCCACCGCCCGCGGCCCCCACTCCTGCCTTCTCCTCCGAACAACCTCCAGACCCAACTCGGACAAGACCTCCGCCCCCTCCTCGACCTTCCCATCCACGACATCAATGGCGAGGAGCACTGGGTCAGGCTCAGTGAGGCCGCTGTCACTGAAGACCAGGGCTTCAGTCACGCGCAGCAGCTTATCCCTCCACTCGAGCAACAAAGATCGGCCTCGACGGCCAGCTGCCCCTGAAGCGGACTGCCTGCACCTAGCGACGAGGCTCTGAAAGGCAATCCAGGTCGTGGTTGAGCTGGAAAATCTACGCTTTTGGTCCTTATCCCAGAGTGTTCCCGGAGGGACTTTCTGCGTCTCGAGCCTTGCAGGTGTAGTCTTGGGCTTCCTTGCCATGCGAACCGTGGATCTGGACCAGGTGGTCCTCGGCAGCCCCGAACCACTGTTTGCGCATTTGGTCCGCAGTAACTTCACCAGCCCCAGGCATGCCCCCAGTCCAATGCCATTCAACATTCTTAGGTTCGGGACGCGGACCAACGAAGCCGTGCTCGAACGGGCGCGACGTAACATGGCGAAGGATCACAGCGAGGTGGGAGAGACCCTCCAGCTCCATGTAGACAGGGCTATGTGGAGCAAGCGGGGCCTCCCAGAATACCTTGAGGCTCTTGACCCGAGGCGCCAAACATTCCGCCAGGAGGAAGTAGTCCAAGACGCGTGCCGTCCCAGATAGACCAGTAGGGTCCAAAACCTCGTCCCCCGCCAAGCCTTCGCGCCGTCGGGTTCTCCTATGGCCCCGGTGCAAGTAGGCTTCATGGGAGCCGCGATCTCTCCCCTGAAGATCTGCAACCACCCAGGTGCCATCAACGCAGATGGTTGAAAGTTGAAATCGCCCTGGGCGATCCAGGGTAGCTGCTGGCTGAGCAGGAGCTCCCCCAGGGCCTCCAAGAGCGCCGCGTTCTCCCCCGACAGCCCAATACCAGTGGTAAAGTACACCGTGGCCACCAGGAGGCCTTGCGGGAACCCAACGTTGACAACGCGCATGCTCAGCCTGTTGACTGGCAGGTCGAGATGCTTCACTGCGAAAGGCGTGGGGGCCAGGCTGCACTGGACTGCGATGGCTACGCCACCTGAGTTCTCAACACTACTGCTGCCAGTGCTTGCCGCCAGCCCATGAGACAGCTGCCAGCCGTTCCTTGCCCCCCAAGCCGATGCCGTGGACGCCTTGGAAACTGCCTTGATGCGTGTCTCCTGGATCGTGACCACGTCAGGCCTCGAGCCGCCACCAGTGGGAGCCTCGTCCATGCACCATGCCAAGACAGTCTCGGCAGTTCTCCAGGCGTTGGCGTTGATGCCCAGTCAGCTCAAGTTCGTGGCTTTCCTCTCCTTGACTGGTCCTGAGCATGGAGGCGGGCCCTCAACCCTGACCGCTCAAGCGTGTGTGGCGACCTCTGCCTCGATGACCTCGATGTGGTCGCCCGCCTTGGCTGCCTCCTCGAACGAGACGTTGTCGCGCAACGCCCGCGGCGTCGAAGATGACGATGGCGACATTGGAGCTCTAGGCTTCTTCGGCGCCGGCGGCTCAATCGACGACGGCGGCCTCGCCGATCCACTCTTGGCAATCGACGAAGAGGGCCGCCCTGACCTTCTCGCGCTGCATGCCTCCGCCGACTCTGTCGAGCTCGAGGGTGCAGTGGCCGCCCTTGCCGTCGTTGAGGCTGGCGACGGCGCGGGGAGGGGGCCGTGACTTTGCTGGGCTGAATCCTGCCCCCCCTCCCCCAGCGGATGCTGGACTGGCCGCGCCGCTCCGAATGGGGGCCACTCGACGGGGTCCAGCACCCTGCCGCCGCCAGCCTCGCCGCCTCCTCCAGCGCCGCTTGCCTGCAGCGGCCGCGGCGCCGCGTCCGCGCCGCCAGGCTGGTCCACCTCCATGGGGCGGTCGCGTGATTGCCCATGGCTTGGGGGCTGGGTGATCGGGTGCTCCCGGAGCTGCTCCCTCCAGCGGCGCGCCCTCCCAGCCGATCGCCGACGGCGGCCCGAGGGCCCGCGGCACTCGGAGGGCCCACGGGCACCGCATATGACTCACCAGCAGGCGCTTCAGCAGCGGCCAGCGGCCGCATCAGCCTCTGCGTCCCGTGTCGACGCGGGCCTGCCCATCTCGCTGTTTACCGCTTGGGTGCGCCTGGGGGCAGGCTCCAGCGGAACGCATGGCGACTGAGCCCAGTCCCGCTCGCTGTTTACCCCGCGGGTGCACCTGGGGGCTGGGACTTGCGCCCAAGTGCCGATGACCTCCTGCGCCGTGTCGGCGCGGGGCTTTGGCGAGAGCTACTTTGGGATCAGCGGTTCGCGCGAAGTTAGGCCGATCTCCCGCGCGGATCGACCCGCGGCACCCGCGCCTCCACCAAACTGCATGCCTGGGCTCGACACTCGAGCCGTCAAGCGGCGCAGCGTGGGCGAGTCCAGCGTGCCAGAGGGCGCCTGCCGAGGCCTGGGCAGCAGGCCTGCGACCTCGAAGCCGAGCCCGAGCTGCCCCCGCTCCACGTCCACGACGTCGTGGTCCCAAAAGCGGCGCAGCGCCTCGTTCGCCGTGCTGACATCAAACGTACCGCTTCCTCTTGATCCCCAGCGCAGCTGCCGCCTGCGCCAGCTTGCGCTTGGCCGCTTCCTGCGCCTCTGGGCTGGGTGTGCGGAGCTCCCTGGCCGCGGCCTTGAACTCGGCCGTGCGCTCCTCGAAGTTGTCTGCGCCGAGGACGTCCATGTCGATGTCCTCATCGTCCTCTCCTGCAGGGATGTCGGCAGGCGCCCTGCCGCCAGCTGCCCCAGCGCCGCCGCGCACGCCAGCGCTGCCGCCGCCAGCCAGCAGGGGCTCCTGCGCCTTCTCCGCCGCGCCCTTGAGGTCGAGGGCTGTCTGCTGGAGCTTCGCCAACGCCTCCATGGCGGCCTTGGCCTCAGCGTTCGTGTGCAGGCTGGGATCCAACGCAGCAGTCGTGACCTTGATCGCGTCATTGATGTCGACGGCATGCACGCGTGCATACATGTCCTCTGCAGCTGCAAGGTCCTTCTTGGTGTCCTGGATGGCCGCGAGGAGCTCGGCCTCCTCCTTGAGGAGCTGCTCGCGGCGCTCCTCGATCTTCTGGAGCTGGAGCTCCTGCTCCTCGGACTTCTTCCGTAGTTTCTCGACTCTCCGTCTTGCAGTGACGACCGAGGGCGGGTGCTCAGCCTGCTCGTGCTGCTGGCGCTTCGTGATCGACTGCAAGACCGCTTCATGACACTTCTTGTTTTTGAGGAAAACCAGCTAATCTTTGTACGAGGACGTGCTGGCTCCTCCTGCTGACTGCTGCTGCTGCCCCGCTGCGGGGGCCGTGGCGGACTTCTCCTCCTTCTCCAGCAACATGTCGAGGTTTTTTCTGCATGGTGGCGATGATCTTCCCTTGGTCCTGTGAAGGACTTGGGCGTCCAGACCCCTTGCCGCCGCCGATCTTCCCTCCTCCTTTCTGGCGCAAGTTGGCTGCCTGCTGGGTTGCCTGCTGCACCTTCCGGGGAGCACCGTTCCCGCAACCGCGGCATCTGAGGCGACTCGCCCAGTTGTCGGCTGCTCCGCATTTTCCGCGCCCCCAGACGGGGAGGTGCGGTCCTGGAAGTACATCGGGCCCCATCCACTGCGCGGGGGGGGAAGCAAATATGGCTCGCGAGCACGGCGCCTCTCTGAAGTACGTGTCCGCAACTCTCTCAACCTCTCGAGAGCAGAGAGGCTTGGAGGAGGAGGAGGAGCAGGAGGAGGAGGAGCAGGAGGAGGAGCAGGAGGAGGAGGAGGAGGAGCAGGAGGAGGAGGAGGAGGAGGAGGACGAAGAGGAGGAGGAGGAGGAGGAGGAGCAGGAGGAGCAGGAGGAGGAGCAGGAGGAGGACGAGCAGCAGCAGGAGGAGGAGGAGGAGGAGGAGGAGGAGGAGGAGGAAGAGGGAAGGGATGATACTTCTCTTATCCCTGTGCCCTGCCTGTGCTCTCTGCCTGTGCTCCCCGCGGGCCCGCTCTGCCTCCCTCCGCTAATCTGGCGATCCCCCAGAGGCCGTCTTTGGCGTGAACCACTTTCTCCCCGCTGACCGCTCGAGAGCTTCACACTTTGATGGCAGCTCCAGGCTTCCTCCTGTCTGCGTTTTCTGCGCTCCGAGCTTCGGGGCGTTGCCGCGGGGAGAGGCTTCGCCGGCTCTTCGTGACCAGAGCCCCGAGCCCGTGCCCGCCACAGCCGCTCCACTCGCCAATGTTGCTCTCTCGGCAGGACGCCCTCCGAGGGCCCGTCACGGATCACCTGCTCGACGAGGTCGCTCCTCCCTCCAGCCCCTCCCTTCGCCCCCTCGGAGCCCAACGTCATGTCGACGTGCGCGCGGTCAGCTTCTGCTGGCCTGCGTTCGAACGCGGTCACTCGTGCACGTGGGGCCGCGGAGGGCGTAGGTGTGCATGTGTCTTTGCTGGCTCATCCTTCTCCGTGGGGCCCCCTCTTCTTACTCTCAGGACTCTCCAGCCCCCACCCCTGGGACCCCACGTAACCCCTCCAGGGTCCATTCTGGTTCGATCAATCCGATTCGATATCGATTGCGACCGGCCCGATCCGATTCGATTCTGATGCCCCCGCAATCCGATACGGCCCGATGCTCGCATGGCGCTCTGGTGCATCCTGGCGCAGCCGATCGACTCCGTACCGATTCGGCCTTATTCGATCCAGGTTCCGGATTCAATGCTGACCGATTCTGCCTTCCTGAAATCAGTGGCAGCGCTAGGGGGGGATAAGCCCAGAGGGGGATGTATCGAATCAAAATCGCTCATTCATCGCCTGCAGGGGCCTGAAGGCCCACCCCGCCCAGGAACGTACGGTTTCGCAAACTGGGGTCCATAGCCGATCCATCGGGGATGTGTTGCCGATTCCAGGTCCATGTCTGCCCCTCTGAGCCACTCCCCCCTCCCTTCGCGCGTGCGCAAAGTGCGCGCGCCAGGCCGAGCCGGCGCGGCTGGAGGACGAGTACGCGCTGGGGTGCAGGGTCGGCGAGGCGGCCGCGGCATCCGCTCCGCGCCACCTGGCCGCCGCCAGCCTGGCGAGCGGGGGTTGCGGCGGCGGCGACGATGACGAGGACGAGGAGGAGGAGGAGGAGGAGGACAACGACGACGACGACGAGGACGACGCCGACGACGAGGACGAGGACGATGACGACGACGACGACGACGACGACGACGACGACGACGACGACGACGACGACGACGACGACGACGACGACGACGACGACGACGACGTGCTCGACGACTCGCTCGACAACGACGGCGGCGACAGCGAAGAGAAGACGACGACGACGGTGGCGACGACGATGCGCTCGACGGGGGCTGCGACGGAAGCCTGCGCCGGCGGTGGGCCTCAGGCGGCGGCGACGAGGATGCAGGAACCCTTTCGATCAAATCGATCTGATTCGATATGAGGAGGAGGAGGACGACGACGAGGGGGAAGGGTTGAGTATTTTCCTTGGCCAGGTCCCCTACCTTTCTTATCGATCTGCGCGCAGGAACCTAACAACTTTACTTTCTGGTCTTCGGTGCAACTTTGGAGGTGTCGGCGCGTCGCCCATGGCGGCCAATCCCAAACAGACATTCCATATTGAAAAAGAAGGTGGCCACGCCTCCCGAGTGCCCTGTGCCCCGACCTTTGAGACCTGGCCCCCCAGGCATACTCAAGGGAAGGGGGAGGAGGAGGAGGAGGAGGAGGAGGAGGAGGAGGAGGATGAGGGTGACCGCGGGGAGGAAGAGGACCAGTGTAAACCCAAGACTCATCAGCGATGTTGCAACAAGCCCTCCCTTCAAGCTCCGTCTTCATAGGCCCCTTCAAGGGTTCATTTCCACTGAAGGAGATGCCCCATTTGAAAACAACCGTTTGAAAATCCGGATCTGTGCCAGAACACCGTTTCTGGGATTTCAACGCCGCGAGTCACCGTTATTGTTGCGTCTTGGCGGTCCTGAATGGGTCTTCAACACCACGAATCAACGTAGCATTCCGACATCATGCCAAAACACCATCTCTGTGACGTTGACGATGAAAATCCTTGAAACGGTTGTAAAGATGAAACGAATGTGCGCGGCGCCAAGGCGAGATCCACATTTTGAAACGGAGCCACCCTCCATCCGTGAAGCCCTTGCAATTTTTAAAGACGATTCTGAGCGGCGCTTAGGCGAGAGCCACCTTTTGAAAAGGAACGGCCCTCCATCCGTGAAACTCTTGCAACTTGTTATGACGAATGTGGTCACCAATGGTGGGGGAGTCTCATGCGAAACGCCCGGCTGCTTTTCCGACTGGACTAGGGTTCCGACAAGGAGGATTTATCCATAGAGGAGGAGGAGGAGGAGGAGGAGGAGGAGGAGGAGGAGGAGGAGGAGGAGGAGGAGGAGGAGGAGGAGGAGGAGGAGGAGGAGGAGGAGGAGGAGCAGCTGGCCTGGTCCTATCCGATTTTGGCGATCCGATGCAGCCCGATGCTTGCACGGCGCTGTTCGGGGGCAGCCAGGCGGCCAGCCCGATCCGATTTAGGCGGCCCGATGCGGCCCGATGCCTGCACGGCGCTGTTCGGGGGCGGCCTGGAGAGCGGTGTTCGGCAGCAACTCTTGGGGATCTTGTACGTTCCTCGTCATCCGTCCTTAGCGTGTGTTAGCGTGCGCTAGCGTCTGGTAATCGACTAGAAAGCGCAGACTCAGCGTGGATTAGTGTCGATTTGGGGTCGATTCGTATAGATTGGTGTCGGTTAGCGTCGATTCGTGAGATCCAGCGTGACGGAATTGGAGGCTCCCATGAGTTGCCGCTCAAGGCTGGCCCGGTCCTATCCGATCCTGGCGATCCGATGCGGCCCGATGCTTGCGCGGCACTGTTCGGGGGCGGCCAAGAGGAGGGTTGACGACTACGGGGGGATATGGCTGGGGCCATGCCATCTCTTTGGATTTCACGGACACCTCTCCTTCTGTTGTTATATATCGCTTGGTCCCCCCCTTCGGCTGCGCGCATGCGTCCCTTCATGATTTACGAACCCCTCTCTTGGGCGCCGCCGAGCTGTTGTGCATCCTGGTGCGGCCGATCCGATCCGATTCCGACCTCCGTGCGCCGATGCAGACCGATCTGACCCGCCCTCCGATCCGACGCGGTTCGAGGCCAGCTGCTCTTGCGAGGGCGGCGGTAAGGATGTCGATGGCGATGGCGATGTGCTGACACTCCAGCCAGCCTTCCGGCCGACCTTGCGGCCAGCGCACCGCCGGCCACCCAGCCCTCCCAGCCAACCCCCTCCGGCCAGGCCTGGCCAGGCTAGCTCTTTCCATAGGACGCGGTAGCCGCAATCGTAATCGTAATCATCGTCATCGTCACCATCATCATTTCCATCGTCGTCGTCGTCGTCTTCGTCGCCGTCGTCGTCGTCGCCGCCGCCGCCGCCGTCGTCGTCGTCGTCGTCGTCGTCGTCGTCGTCGTCGTCGTCGTCGTCGTCGTCGTCGTCGTCGTCGTCGTTACTAGCATCAGTATGATCATTGTTATCATCGTCTGCCGGTCGTGGGGATGATGCCCCCACTGACTCTCTGGGGGCGGTCCTGCGCGAACGTCCAGCGAATCCACCCCACCTAATTGCGTGCGTCGGCACGTATGCCCCCCGCGGCCTCTCGTCACAAAGCAGTTCGGCCAAAACACAGATCGAGGCCTCCAGGATCCACGGCCTTCTGTTCATGCCTGTCCCTAGGGGGCAACGACGGGGGTGGGAACATCGACCCCAAACCGCGCAGTTATCGGCGATCGGGGCCTGATGGCCCACCCCGCCCAGGAGAGTGCGGTTCCGTCACTGGGGGGCCCATCGCCGATCTATCTTGAGGGGCGCGTAATGTAGGGGCGATAAATGGAGGGGCGATCAATGGGGGGCAACGAGGGCTGCCGAAAAGGGGCCCTCTCGGGCCCAAGAGGGGGCCTCCGGGCCCCGAAAATGGCACCTTTCTTGACCCCCAATGCATCGCCTCCCACTGACTCGCGCCCAACTATCGGCGATGCGTCTCCGATTCCAGGTCACTGTCCCCTCCCCCCGGAGCGGGCCCCCCCCCCTGTCGAGCCCCTCCGTCAGAGCCTGCCCTGTCTTCCTCCCTCTCCTCCCCCCCCCCCTCAGAGCCTGCCCCTCCCTCTCCCTCTCCTCTCCCCTCGCTCCCTCCTCCCCTCCCTCCTTCGAGCCTGCCCCTCCCGCGCTGCCAGGGCGCCTTCGGCCAGGTCTACGCCTGCATCCGCCGCTGCGACGGCCACGAGCTCGCCGCCAAGGCCCCGTGCGCGCCGCGCCCGGGAGCTGTGCGCACGGCCGCCGCCGCCGTCGCCGCTCGGCGGCCCTCGGCGGCCCTCGGCGGCCCTCTGTTCGGCAGCAGGAGGCCCAGGCATCCGACCTCCCAGAGGACTCCAGGCGGAGGCTCCTCCTCCTCTTCAGCCTCCGGGGGCCCTCGCCGGGCCCCGCGGCCGTCACCCAGGGAGGACGCGAAGCCGGGCCCCCACGGGAAAAGGGCTGGGATTTCGGGGGGCCCCGTGCGGAACAGATCAAGGCGTCGGATGTCTTGGGACGAGGCGGGCGTGGGCGCCGTCGGCTCCTCCGGGTCTGGGGCGGAGCCAGTTGGGTGCACCGATCGCGGGGCTCCCGCCAGTCACGAAGCCCAGATCGGTGCAGTGCGGTGAAGTGCCCTGCCCTGCCATACATCTGGCGGCTCGGCAGAATTGGCGCAACTGTGTGTGTTCTCCGTTCTGGCGCCTGCAGGTCCTGGGTGCGGGCGCGATGCCGCTCCACGTCCATTGCCAGGTCGCCTCAGCAGTGGCCCGCCGCCCCGGCCGCCCCTGCCGAATTTCTCCGTGCGGTGAGTGCCCTCCTCCCCCGCCCGCTTTCCGCGGCCGCCTTTCGCCTCCTTCCCTCCCTCGTGCCACCAGACAATTCGTACGCCTTGCCCCGGGCTGCTAGGCGCGCGTGCGGATTGCCTCTGTCGCGCTGAGACGGACAAAATGTTCTCTATTTTGGGCCTTTGTAGGTTGGTTTCGGGCGTCAGGGAGACGAGCAACAAAGACGACTCAGGCTGGAAAGCCAGCCCCAGTGAGGCATCGAGAGGTCCAGGGCCAAGTCTCCGAACAACAATCGAGCCGCCAGAAAAGAATCGGGCTTGGGCTCGTAGATATAATGACTGGTTGGATGCACCGGGGACTGGCACCCACCGTACCAGCACGTGCTTAAGCCGCTCGGGGGCACCATGCGTAGCGATGATCTTCCCCGACAGGTGCGCGGCGCTGATGGAATCCCTGCGTCCCAAGCCTCGTGCTCAGTCGTCAAGGCTTGCGCCTGGGGCTACGGTGCTATTGCTATTCTTGCTTTGGTTCTACTGGACCTGGCGCCGCGCTGCAAGCGATGGCTTGCCCTGGCGGGGTGCGTGGGAGGTACTGCGCCTTCGGATGGCCACCACGGGTGACGACCGACTCTTTTCCAGGCCTCTTCGGATGGGGCCAGAGTAGATAGGGTCGGAGGCTCGCGCCGCAACGCCGATGCGTCGGCGACACGGTGCGATCTGAGTCCGATTCTCCCTGGCCCGACGTCGCCAGTGCGTCGGCGATGCGTCGGCGACGCGGGTTCGGGGGTTGCTAGAGGTGCCCCTGACCCAAGATACCCCGAGCTTTTGGTCCAATGTTGGAGCCTCTGGGGCCCTCTGGACCTCGCGAGGGGTGCTCCGGAGGCCGTGGAATCCTGGGGGCACCTGGGGGCCAGGGGCGCTTCTAGCAGCACCCGATCGAGGGGTGGGATCTGTATCGACCTCCAATCGCCCACTGATCGCCGATGGGGGCCCGACAGCCCAGCCTCGCCCAGGAGCGTCCGGTTTCGCCATCGGGCGCCCATCGCCGATGTATAGGTGATGTGTCGCCGATTCTAGCCCGCTGTTTGTGTTGCCGTTCATGAGAGCCTTCGTATAGCTACCTGACACCATTTTTTAACAGGACCCGTGCCCCTCCTGTGCCACTTCCGCGTCGCGTTCGTGCCGCCGCGGCCGTTGTGCTCTGATGGCGCCAGGGCCACGGAGGACGTTGAGCGTGTTCGAACGGAGGCAGAACGAAAGTGGAACGGGCGTGAAACGAAAGCGGAATGAAAGCAAATGTCTAAGCGTAACGCGCAGGCTCCCGTCTTCACTACACAAAAAGTGTTCCCTCCCTGAGCCGGTCCCCCCTTGTCGTAGCCCCTCACCCCAGGGCCGGTTCTTCGTCGCACGGAGGCTTGAGGCGACCCCCTTGCTCGAAGCCGAGCGGCTCCTCGAGCAGCGCTCGGCCGCGGCCACGAGGCACCCCTAGAATTTTTTTCAAGAGGGGCGGGCAGAATCCCCCTCGTGGAATGACACGTCGCGTCGGCAGCCACGGACCGGATCTGCAGGGCTTCAGCGGTCGGAGGTATATCCATGGGCTCTGCAGGATGGGGGTCGCTTGGTTCAAGGCGCAGCTGAAAAGAGGCCCCCCCGACGAGGTCCCCGACAGGGAGCACGGGTACCACAGTGGGCGCCACAGAGAGGGGGCCTTGGTGTGCCAGGAGGCACTCTTGGGACGCCTACGGGCTCTGGGGGCGTCCTCCGTCACCTCCAAAGAGAACATGTCCAACGCGTTCGGGTGCTCGAAGTTTTCAGAGTTCAGGCGTACAGTTGAGGCGTCCATCGCTGAGCCCGAGAAGGCTTTCTTCCACCATTTGCACGAGTTTAGCACGTTCACGATCGTCGGGGCGGATGGGGAGCAGACGATGCATAACAGGTGTGGGGCTTTCATGGGCGACAGTCCTGCTGCTGTATTTTTCGCTCGCACCTTTCGGCGGCCTGTGCAGTCTTGGTTAGATGGCATGCGCGCTCATACGTGGCATAGCACTCCTCCTCCTGGGCCTCAGATGCATCAGGAATGGGTGGATCAGCCCCTCGTTCCCGGCCCCACCCTCCGACTGCTCGACGGTGCTCTGGCCTAGTGAGGCACTGTGTACAGCAGTTGACGCCGATCTTGCAGAGGCCCGTTGACCTTTCGTGCCGTGTATTTACGCCAACGACATTGGCAATATTCACGTGGTCACGTCTGCCAGGAATGCCCAATACGCGCTTCACGTGGCGCATGCTGACCTCCAGGTCGCACCTGATGATAGTGGATATGGTCACAAATCTGGCAAAAGCACGCCAGCTTTCGTCGGTCGAGGGACTCATTCTCACGCCGGGGCAGGTTCAGTTCGATACTGTCGCATTGGGGATCCAGACCGTCATCAATGAAGGAGTTCACGAAAAACTGAAGAAAAGGGTTTGGCGTGCAGGAGGGGATGGCATTTCATGGGGAGGTTTTGTGCTCGCAAGCGGGTCGGAAGGTTCACGATGACGATATTCGGTGCTGTTGTACAAGGTGCTCTCTTGTCTGGCCTGACTACTCTCGTCTTGTCAGAGGCGCAGGAGTCGAGGTTGGATTGAGTGCTTCTTGGTTTCGCTCGTAAGTTGCTCGGAGGCGATGCGTGCCCCAAGATTGCGGTCTTAGGAGAAGACGGCGGGCTCCTAGTTGACGAGTCTGCTCAGAACGTGTTGCGATGCCGAGCCCTCGCTGACGAGGTCGTGCATCGTGCGTCTCCTGGATCGCTCAGAGGCCGAGGACTTGGAGGAGCTTCTCGTGATGCCCGACGGGTCGCTCGAACCCTCGAGGCGTTTCAGCATTCGGGCTCTGCTTCTGGACGGCGATCTCCGAGGCCGGTTTCCTGCGCTGGATCCTGGGCATCCTGGGGCAGCAACGAAGACCGCAGCGATCCCACCTCCCCCCTGGGCTCCATGGACCCGTTGCCCCCTGCGCCTCCTGGCGCTCCAGAGATCCCTCCCTCGCCAGCCCCGATCTGGAGGTGCGAGCTGCGGAACTCCGTCGGCGTCGAAGGCGGTAGGACTTTCAGCACTAGTCGGGCTCTACTGGTGCGTCAGAAGTTCTCCCAGGCTGGTGCTGCACACGTTTACGGTGACTAACCAATGCGTTCTCTGCCTGCAAACTTTCAGGAGTCATCGATTCGCCCAGGAACACCTCGTCCAGGCCACGTTATCGGGACGCTGCTTTGCCCAGGCCTCACCACGTAAGCACCCCATCAGTCAGCCCGAGTCTCTGGAGTGCCCCTTCGCCTCTATCACGGTGGGGTCGTCGTTCGGGAGCAGTTGTGTGGATTTCTGCTGCGTGACCGAGAGCATGTATAGCACGATGCCCGGGCTTCCGAGGCATCTTCGTACTCACCGGCCGCGGGTGCCCCATTGCTCTACTGTGCGGTCGTGGGACGGCAGTGTTCAGGCTCTCCAGCGAGCAGCTCAAGGCCGCAGGCGCCCTTTCGCGCTCGAAGGGGCGCGCGGGCTCCCACGCCAGGGACACGGGTCGAGGCCGCTCAGGATCAGCAGCAGCTTCTCGAGCGCGTGGCGCCCGCACCAGAGGCGTTCGTCGTGGCAGCCCCGAGCCGCATCCTCAACCGCAGCAGCGAGGCCAGGGATCAGGAGCAGGTCGGGGTCGCGGCGGTTCAGCGGTGATGGAGGAGCTCGGCAAAGCGTGCGGCCTGCCGCAGGACGTCATCACGAAGCTTCCTCCCATGGGCGCCCAGCTGATGGCGAAATTCTTTCCCGTCCTGGTGCGCGCGGTGCTCGGGAACTCGCTTCAGATCTGAGCCCTGGCAGCAGCGGAGTTCAACGCGATGCTGATCGACGAGACGGCTCCCGTCGTGACGGCAGCGTTTCAAAGGGGCCGCGCCTACGCAACAGAGGCGGCCAAGATCAAGGAGATGCGCGCGAAGGACCGTCGAAACCGCTTCCAGAGGTCGGCACGTGGCCTGCTTGCGTTCAGATCTTTCTAGTTGCGTGCAGGGTGATCGTCGACCCAGGAAGGGCCGTAAGCGCAACGAACCACAAGAACTGGACGGAGCGGCAGGGCAAACTCGACGCGATCACAGACCTGGCGGAGTTCAACCTGCTCGTTCGCTTGTTCCGAGTGTCTCTCGCCTTCAAAGAGGGCCATGCGAAGATCACTTTCTCGCTCGCGGACCTGAACATGACGCAATTGGGAGGGGAGCTGAAGCCAGGGATCGCGCCTCGTTCGAACACCGAGAGGATCTTGCAGTTGGCCATCGACTAGCTCGAAGTGCGACGTCTACTTCGCAGAGGGGTCCCATATAGTTTCTCTTGGGGATGGTGCTGGTATTCGGTCTTCTTCGCAGGTGGCGTCCCAGATTCATCTTGGGAAAGGTGCTGGTACTGCGTCTTCTTCGCAGAGGGGTCCCATATGGTTTCTAGTGGGAATGGCGCTTCTGCTTAGATTTCTCTTGGGATGGATGGCATCTCGTGTCTGATGTTCCTCAGGGTGGTGATCCTGAGGCGCGGGCGCGTGCTGCCACTGCTGTCCCCCCCCCTCCCCCTCCGCCTCCTCCTCCTCCCCTCTCCTCCTCTTCCTCCTCCTCCTCCTCCTCCTCGTCATCCTCCTCCTCTTCCTCCCCCTCCTCCTCCTCCTCCCCTTCCTCACTCGTCCGAGAGGTTTTACATTTTCCAAGAGCTTGTGGATTGCAACGCGTTTCTGAGCCCGCGGATGGCTCCCTGTGGGCAGTCGGACCCTTGGGGCTGTCGTCCTGGAAGCCGTGTTCGCCGCCTGCTGGACCTTTGGGATCCGAAATTCTAAGTTCTTCTATCCGGCGTTCGCTATGTATTGTAACCGCGGTTGAGCGAGTACCCGTCGTGGTTCTCGCCAGGGGGGGGCCGTCTTGTAATCGTCACCGATGATTTGCATGCACCGTAGATGGCACATCCCCGAATTCAACCTGCATTGTGATGCATGCTCGATTTAGTTCGACTTTCGGCCCGACGCCGATTCGCCGCCGCCGCCGCCTTCTCCTTTTCCCGGCTGCTCGTTCCTCTCGTCCCTCCTCTTGCTCCTCCTTCTCTTTTTTCTCCCCCGCACACTGCATCATCGCAACTGCACGCGCCCGCCCGCGAAGGCGGCCGGGAGCGGCCATCTGAGGCTTGTTTCCCATTCGGTCTAGGTCCGGGTCTGCGGCCCGCAGGTTGAAAGAGGTTCAAGTTGCTGGGTAGCTATCAGCACCCATGGAGCGCGAGCGCAGATCGCTGGTTATAGTATTGAGAGTTTGAGAGGTTCAAACAGTTATAGGGGTTCAATATATGACTGAATGGTACCCAGTGGTGAACAAGTTTTTGTTTCAAGAGGAGGACTTCGCTTGAGTGCCAGGTCCATGGGGCGCTCGTCTTTCAAAGGGGCGCTCCCCTCAGTAAAGAGGAGTGCTCGCAGGGACTTGTTGGGGCGGGGGGGTACGTCGCAGCGTCGCTGATGCATCAGGGCTTTGCTCTGGCATTTTTCTTCCTCCTCGTCCTCGTCCTCGTCCTCGTCCTTCTCCTCCTCCTCCTCCTCCTCCTCCTCCTCCTCCTCCTCCTCCTCTTCCTATTCCTCCTCCTCTTCCTCCACCTATTTCCCTCCCCATCCTCCTCGCTCCTGCGCGGGATGCTCCTGATCCAGCTAAGCTGGGCTTGCGTGAGGGCGCGCCGGTTCAGCGTGCTAGCATGCCGCGCGTGCGCGGCCGGCCCGTTTGCCGCGTGGTGGTGCCAGTTTCCGTCCCTCCCCTCACTGTTCCCCTGCTCTTGCTCTGCCGCCTTGCGGGTGGGAGCCAGCTGGGGGTCTGAGGTGGCACACCCTTGGTCTCGGCCAACAGGAAGGGGGAAAGAGGTTCGAGATTCTGGGTTCGAGGAGGTTCTTTGCCTTCTTCGGTTTCCGGGGCTGTTTTCGGGCCCTGGGAGCGTGCAGAACGAATCTGGGGTGAAAAACTGCACCAGATGGTACCCGGGAGGGGTCCCAGGAACCGATTTTGAGTGGATTTGGCTTCACCACTCCTCCGGATGCTTGTTTGGGGCCCCAACCAGTTCAGATCCCCTGGCCGCCTCCAGTCAAGGGAGGGAAAACCATCCCGACCCCCATAATTGGCGTTTACGAAATGGCCCTGGGCGTTTACTGAACAGTCCTGCCGTGTTCGATTCCTGCCTTGGGTGCGTTTACTCACCGGAGTCGGCTGTCGGGTTGCTCATGATGTTTTTTTTTTGTTCGTTTTTTTTTTTTTGTTGTTTTTTTTTTTTTTTTTTTCTTCTATTTTCCTGTTCCCTATCCAACCTGCAGACGTCTTCGGATGTTCCCAGGCGGAGTCCCAAACCAAAGTGCGAGCGCTAAACCTGCAGCTTGGCTCGGGGCCCGAGAGCGCGCCGGCCGCCGGATCGCGCCGCGCGCGGCGGGGGCCGCCCGCGAGGTGGTGCACACTGACCGCCTGAGCGAGCTCTCGCTGGCCCAGGCCGCTGCCAGCTGGCCGAGGGGGGACGGTCGGGTCGGGCGAGGGATCGGAGGAAGATCGCAGGCTTCTCTCCCCCAACCGCCGACTTTTCGATGAAAAATGAACCCTCTCAGAAAATGCGGGAAACCCTGGGCAGAGGGGGCTATTCGGATGCACCCCTATCGAGGATGGACGCCCCCTCCCATCGTGTATCCCAGGGTTGGACCCGCAATTTCTGGTCCCTTCGAAAACCCCACGGAGCTTGGAATAGGGGTCGGCAGATCCCCTGTTCGAGGAAAGGCTACATACCGCTGCCTTTCCTTGTCTTCGTTTTTGGGCCTCGTGGGAGGCCCTCGTCGCCACCGCTGGATTCGTTTCGGCATCCTTCGACCGGAAAACAAACGACACCGCCCCACCTACGGCTCTCCATGTTGCGCTACGGCCAATCGGGGGCCGTAGCGCATATCACGAAAACACCCACGCCATATTTCGTGATACGTGCTGAGCCCCCTGGGGCCAGGAGGTGTGGCGGAGGGTGCCGGTGGAGTCAGGGAGGCTGCGGTCATGAAGGAAGCCCATCCTTTCCTTCCCTTCCCCCTCTCCGGAAAACGCCCGCCAGCTTCGCCTCTCGCCTGCACTTCTTGTTTCCTGTCCTCCCTCCCGCGCGCTGCGCGATGTCTCCCTTCCCCCCCTCCCCGCCCCCCCTTCCGATTCCGAAGGTCAGGACGGGCTCGCGCTGGCCCAAAGCGCAGTTCCAAATTTCATGAGACAGAAACTTTCTGGGTGCCAGTGTCGGCTTTCTGACCTTCCAGAAAGCCAGACGACGAGGACCACTCGGGTCAGTTGACAGGAGGGGTTTGGGAATGGGAGGCGGACGCGAAGTTTGCTGCATGTAGCTGGGTTCAGCCCAGCCGCTGAGGCCTGAGCCGCCTGAGCTGGATTTTGGCATAGGCTTGTTCGAGTGGGCTGCTGGAATGCAGGATGAAGAGAATGAGAAGGAGACGTAACATAAAGCCGATTGTGATGATGCTGCTGATGATGATGAGGAGGAGGAGGAGCAGGAGGAGGACAGGGGTTTGTAAGAGTCGGAGTAGGGGTAGGCATCGAAGTAGTAGTTCCCCAATCAGTGCTAGCACTGAAGGGGTCCTCGCGGAAGTTGAAGGATTTGGCGAAAGTTTCCAGCCGATTTTGGTCGCACGCTGGGTTCCCGGGTTCCCGGTTCTGGGTTCCCGGGTTCCGGGTTCCCGGTTCCGGGCTGATTTCGGAGGGCGGCGAGGTTCCCGGGTTCCCGGGTTCTTGGTCGTTCTTGTTATCGATCGGTCTCACCATCGGTTTCATTACCCACTTCTCTATCGATCTCACCATCGATCTCACAATCGATCTCACTATCGATATCACAAGCGATCTCACTAGAGATCGCATGAGCGATCTCGCGATCGACCTCACTATCGATCTCATTGAATCGATTTCACTCTCGGTCTCACGATCGACCTTACAATTTGTCCTCACTATCGATTCCATTATCGATTTCATTATCGATCTCACAATCGATCTCTAGATGTATAGTATCAGTTTAACATTCAGCCACTGATTGGGATTTCTCAGGTGTAATAGTAGCAGTAGTAGTAGTAGTAGTAGTAGTAGTAGTAGTAGTAGTAGTAGTAGTAGTAGTAGTTGTAGTAGTAGTAGTAGAGTAGTAGTAGTAGTAGTAGTAGTAGTAGTAGTAGTAGTAGTAGTAGTAGTAGTAGTAGTAGTAGTAGTAGTAATAGTAGTAGTCGTAGTAGTAGTAGTAGTAGTAGTAGTAGTAGTAGTAGTAGTAGTAGTTAGTCGTAGTAGTAGTAGTAGTAGTAGTAGTAGTAGTTAGTAGTAGTAGTAGTAGTAGTAGTAGTAGTAGTAGTAGTAGTCGAAGTATAGTAGTAGTAGTAGTAGTAGTAGTAGTAGTAGTAGTAGTAGTAGTAGTAGTGGTAAGTAGTAGTAGTCGTAGTCGTCGTAGTAGTAGTAGTAGTAGTAGTAGTAGTAGTAGTAGTAGTAGTAGTAGTGATAGTAGTAGTGATAGTAGTAGTAGTCATCGTAGTAGTAGTAGTGGTACGAGTGGTAAGAGTGGTGATAGTAGTAGTAGTAGTAGTAGTAGTAGTAGTAGT